AATAAACTTACTCTGTTCACATAAAATATAATTTTAATCAATTTTTTATTTATTTTTATTTATTTTTTCTCTTGCTTAATCAACTATAACAACTGACTTCGAGCAATAAAATCACAAGGTAGTATTATGATCTCAAGAATGGCATTAGGAAAACGGTAGACAACTATTAAAAATAAATAAATCAGTTGATTTTACTAAATGAGTTCTATTATTTTAATAAAGAATCTATAACCTGAAAAACTCAGCGCACATATTCACAATTATTATTAAAATCTGAGAAATCTATGTTAATATCTTTTTTCTGAAAATAAAAGTCTCCAGAATTGAAATAGTTAATTCGCGCATATTCTGAACTTTTAACGAAGATTACTCTGCCATTGTTGTAATGTTCTTTAATATAGTAATATTCAAGATTCGATAGCCACTTTAATATATAAGACTATCCTGAATATTGGACGATTCTATAGCCCTGCCGATATAATACTATAAAAGCAACTATATATGATACAAGACCTAATCTATCGTGTAACTGCTTTCTCTTTTTTTCTGCCCAAATGCTAGAAAGATAATGATCGAATAAAATAGGAGAATTCTGATAATGTGCGGGCACATCTTTAGCTTGAATTTTTTGGCCAAAATAATCCACATATCGATTATCAGGAATTCTTATATGACGAGGAGTTATACCTAAAAACTTCTTCTCGTCAGGAGTATTATCATTTCTAACCATATTCCAAACTCAACTTGCCGGTCTCAACTTATAAGTCCTCCAAGCTTGTTGAAGAACCGTTTTACTGTTAATTATGTGAAGTACAATCCTTTTTTTAACTTCGTTTTTATTTGAATGTTTATAATCATAATAGCTCAAGCCTTTACTGTATATAAAATAATATCTCTCATATATTTTATCAACTATATCAATGCTAAGTGATGATACTCCCCCCTCTTTTTTCATATTTTTTTGTACAGGATTGGAATGCATATTAGTGGTTTCAGTAATACATTTCTTTAGGTGATCGTTTGCACATTCGATTGTATTTTTGCGGATAATTACTAAGGAGTCGCATACAGTGCAATAAATATAAACTGAACACTCTTTATATGCTCTTTCAATTATTTGAATAAATCCATTCTTGGAGAAGTATTTTGAGTTATGTTCGAGAAGTTTTTTAAATAAACAACGAATATGAGAACACTACATTTCTGGTGTTTCATCACTATAACTATATTGCAGATTGTTTAACGCCTGCACTACTTCAGGATTTAAACTAGAATAGTAGTTATAGTTGGTTTTAACCATTTTTTACTCTTTATAGTTTATAGTCGACTTTAGTGATTTATAGTGTTTTTTAGCAATTTATAGCATTTTTAGTGATTCTTTATTAAGAAATATTGCGATTCAAATTTGTACGTAGCCGAGAATAGAAAAAAATGTAAATAATTGTTAATATACACTTCATAGATTTTTATTTACATTGGCACCTTTTACCTATATTAAGAATTAGATAAATAAATACTAATATAAAAAATATATTACTCAATTGTAATCTCAAGAATAGTATTAGAAAAATGGTGGAGCTATTATTGAAATTATGAATTGGCTTGGATACTTTTTTTCCTGCGCTTCTGCCTTGCCTCAATTTCCTTCTGCAGGTTTAATAGAATGTCAAACCTTAGCCGAATTGCAAGAGGATTATCCTTAGGTCTATCTAGATCAAATATAATAAATTCACCTTTTTGAAGATAACTATTTATAATCATCGATATATTCTTAATATCATCAGTATATCGACCGGCTATCCTAGACAAATCTTGATAGCTACTGCTCCCATTAAATATCACTAGATGAGAGATATTTTCATGAATAATAATGGGAACCTTATAGTAACATTGAGTTATATAAATTGATGAAATATTTCTGTGATGCCCATGAGTAAAGAAAGGGATAATTTGATTTTGTATATACTCTGGGGCAACACACAAGTCCTCAAAAATGATAACAGTACTCCTTTCTGGTGAGAATAATTTTATATTTGGAATTCTTTCAGGAGAAATATAGTTGAACCGAATATTCTCATAATATGGCGCTCTTAGATCTTTTGAAATTATGCTATATATATATCTTACAAATACTCATTTTGGTTCGTCAGGATGGTAACTACATACTATCAAATCATCACATCTAATATATCAGGTTCCTCTTTTCTATCGTTTGTGTATGTGCTCACTCTTATCTTCGAAAACAAGATTTGCTAGTAAATTTGTTTTACCTGTACCACTCCTCCCAGTGAGTAGCATACTGAAAGGCCAGCCAGGCGATGCTTCATGTTCTTTCACTCGGGATGATTTGTGCTTTGTGGCCTCATCCATATTCATAAGGTAAAGTTTTATAGGAGGTATTTCTGTTTTTGAATTCTTTTGCATGACGGATTGGATATCTATAACTTTGTTTTCTATAAATTGGATAAAAAATTTCTTTCTTTTTGATTGAGCGACAAATTCGCCTATATATATATCATATAATTAATATTACTACTAAGGCTAAAATAACAAGCGAAATTATATACTGATCATTAAGTAAAGCATTGCCGACCCCTAATGTAACAATAGGTAAGGCTTGAATATTATCGAGTTTCTCTTTCTGCTTATTGCAAACATGGTCTATTGGGGGCTCTATCACATCTTTTACTTTACTTTCATCAGGCTCAAGCCCTAAGTGGTGTGAAGACAAAAAGGGGGTTTTAGAGAAACTGAATACCTCTTCTATAGCATTGCCACCTGTTCTTGAATCATTAGATGATGGATCTGGTTTTAAAGAGATCTCTTCTACTGCATTACCACCCATTTTTGAATCATTAGATAATGGGTCTGGTTTTAGAAAGATTTGTTCTAGTTTATTTTCTAGATCACTTACTCTAGACCTGAGGCAGAAATTAATCCATCCTTAAATATTAAATTTTGCATAACTTGCTCTAGTTCGTTTTTCAATTCCTTTACTCTAATCTCATGAAGAGACTAGGTAGTATCGGTATTCTTTAATAAAGCTTTTTGCGCTATTTGTTCTAACTTAGCCTTTAGTTTATTTATTCTAGCCTCAAGAGAAGAAATTTCAGAATCCTTTAAAAATGAAGCTTTTTGTACTAAAGATAGTAAGCTTTCTAATAAATTAATCTTAGACTTTAGTGATTCTATTTTTTTTAACTGTTTGGCATTAAGATCGGCACGAGACTTTCATTTGCAAGTAATTTGGGCTATAAGCTTATTATTCACATTATTTAGTTGCTTAGTTAGGGGGACAATTTGATTTATAGAAATTTGCATATGCTCTTTTCTTCATGTAAGTGATTTAGATCATTTTGTATACGATTATTTTTTTCATGCAAGTGATCTAGATCATTTTGAATACACTTAACTAGCACAAGATCCTCTTTTTGTTTTAAATATACATCCTGGAGATCTTTATATTCATTAGCAATATCAGAAACAGTTTTGATATTACTGCGTAATGCTTTCTCAAGTTCTGATTCACAGATGCTATCAAGCCAATGACCTGGCCCCTCCAGAACCTTTCTATTCTTGGTATCTCTTAAGATATGTATATTGGACATATTTTTTTTTCAACTTAGTCATAAATATATTTAAAAAATTTATGAGTGAAATTCTTCATTGATATCCTTATTAATAGCTAAAAATAAATTAAATAGTGAATAACTATTATTAATAATACCTATAATTTATAAACTATCGATTATCACATATATAGTAGAACTATGACTAGATATTTAAGATCTGATGCACATTTGTTTTCTCCTGAAGATTATTCTTATATTATGTAGTATCGTAATATAAAACCGAGGTATAAAATTTTAAATGAATTGATAAGTAAGTATAAAACATCATTAAAGCATATTTATCAAATATGGAGAGAGCAAGAACATCCTATTGACCCTACACAAAATATGTTTTCTTCGAATCAGACTCAAATAACTAAAAATTCAACAGTAGGAAAAAAAAATCTTATAACTGAAACCCTTATTGATTTAAGTACTGATTTGCCAATAAATAAGACAGTGCCTAATAAAGATAAGAAATCATCTGATACAATGCCTCTATATTCTCAGATTAAATCTCACAATATCTAGCTTTCTATTGAATCGTGAGATATGGTAAGTTTTTATTATATTACTTGTAGTCATACCAATCGAATGTTGACTGAAGATATTAATCAAATACTAATCAAAAAGAATAGCAAATCGAATAAGAATTAAATGTTAACTGATATATTTAAATCGAATTTTCACCAAAATAGGATCAGATGTTAACCGAATAGTTCAGAAACACCGAAATGGGATCAGATGTTAACCAAATGGTTCAGAAACACTGAACAGGGATTGGATATATATCAAAACAGTATTGAATTTTTTTCGAATTATTATTTAAATATTTTTTATTTTAAATATATCATGTTACAGAATTCAGAAAAAAAAGTTCGATATCTGCGATCTGATGCAACTCCTTTATCTGATGATAATATACAAGATATCATTAATACTAGAAATTCAATAAAATATGCATTAGAAGCTATAGCAAGCAAATACAAAATATCAACAAGGCGTGTATATCAAATATGGAGAGGGAATCATCTACTAATAGATTCTAGAGAAGAGGCATTGCGATCAAATATTAATATACTTAGCTTAAGTGAAGATTCCAATCATGATGCTAATAAATTCGATTCTGCTTTCACAGCATGGGAAAACAAGATACATGATATTAAAATTAGCAAATCTACTGATTTAGCTTTGGAAGAGGATGTTGTTTCAGATAGTAAGGTGAAAAAGACTGAAGGAAGAAAATCGAGGACTGAAACTGTTCGCGTTTCTAATTCTATTTCATCTACTGAATCTTCTGAAAGTGTCTTGGATTTGTATAAGAGAAGTAGTTCTGAAATAGAAAAAATTAGAGCATCTGGTCGTGCTCTTGTTTTCAAATAATTATTTAACCTTATTTGGTCCTAGAAAAATCTTTTCATATCAGTCAAGCAAATTATTATAGTATTTTATGATTTCTAAATTCAATTAAATGCTAGAAAATAATGCCTTTTCGAGCTCCTTCATACGAATTATCATATCTCCATAATCCATACAATTTATGTACTTTTTTTTAAATCATCCTCACTAGTTAGGCTAGAGGAATTGGTAGATACTTGGGCTAAATCATGCGTGGAGGATTTCTAAGAGACTACCTTCTGCTTCTCTTTTGGCAGATCCTTAGCTACTAGGACCTTACTATATATTGAAATAACATAGGTTTTCCCATGTAACTTTATGCGGAACTGGTTTTTATTTGGCTCAGGAACATCTTGGAGCTTTCAAATATTTAATATCCCTAAAAATAGCATTGGTTCAGGTTCACCATTATCTATACGTACAAAATTTCTAATAACTATGACTGTCTCACCCTCTTTGTCTTTCATAGTAACTGGCACATCTGTGTACTATCCTAATAAATCAGTGATATGCCTAAAATTGCCCTTTATAGCAAAATCAGATGGCTTATCAGCCTTCCATCCAAGCATCTTAATTGCCAGGTCATTTAAACTACCAAATTCACTTCCCAGATCTAAAAAAGATTCAGAAATCGCTAAATCATTTATATTTACATTCAGATATTGTAGAGAAGAAAACCACTCATCTGATTCTTTTTCCTAAGCCTTTTGGGACAAGCACATTTTACGCATTGCCTGTGAAAGTTTTGGCAACAGCTCATCATACATTTCAGGTTAGCTATATTCTGCTAGTATCTGTTTTTTTTTTCTTGTAAATAATATCTGGTCTATTTATTATTTTTTTTATCATAACCACCATTATTATCTTCCTCATTATCTGAAGCTGGAGGTGTGTATTGGAACTGTGTATTGGAACTGTGTAGATGGAAGTTGGGGATAGTAACGTGTAAATTTGATTTAGCTACAGGTTTTTTGGATTGATTATCAAGCATCATCCTCCCGAATTAAGATATCATTTGACTGATTTCATCTACTTTTGATTCTATTCTATCTATTCTCATAGATTGGTTTTGTTGAGAGCGAGGTCTTTGAAAAGGTTTTATAGAATAATCTGAATCTAATTTTTTTTTTTTTTTTTTTAATATTAAGGTGACTACTTAGGCCCCTGGCACTTGGCTTTATTCAGATAAATACGATATTATATCAATTTTCACGAGGATACAACTAGCCACACATGTACTTTTGGTACCTAATTTAAGTAGTCCGCCTGGGTTCTATACTAGCTACCATATCTGCAATCTAACTAAAAGATTACTTATTTAAGCTCTCTGATTATTTAACTAACAAGAGTATGACTAGCTATACATGCAACTTTTGGTTGCCTATTTAAGTAGTCTGCCCTAGATTCTACACTAGCTGCTGTACCTGCACTCAACTATGGGGGATACCCATTTAAATCCTCTAGCTCTATTTCTTGTAATATGCTTTACTCTAATACTCTTAATAAGATTAGCTATATATATATAAGTCGTGCCTCAAACTAACGCTTGCCTCAGATGTCAATCGGCCTAAGTTAGAATAGGTTAGGGTAAGAATCTGGGAAGGATTTGGGCTTAATTTAGGTCAATCAATGTCTATCAGTTAATGCGGGCCAAAAAGTCGACATCTGACGCAAGCATTAATCTGAGGCACAACATATATATTGTATAATTAGATAAATAGATAAAATTAGTAATTATCTGAATAAAGCTACATGCCAGGGACCTAAGTGGTCACCTTAATATTAAAATATATATATATATATATATATATAAATCAAGTTAATTTATTTTAATTTTTTTTATTTTATTTTCTATTTATATAATATATATATATATATCAAGTTAATTTATTTTATTTTTTTATTTTATTTTTTTTTCATTTTTATTTCATAAGACAAATAATGCGATTGTACAATCTTGTATGAACTCATATTGCTAACTCTATAAGTATTAATAATCATTAGTAACTTACCAAAACTGTGATATTTGATCTTTGCATGAACTCATATTGCTAACTTTATAAAGATTATGATTATTGGTAACTTACTAAAACTGTAATTATTGTATATTTTAATCATTTGCATTATAAAAAAAATATTATAATTCTTGATCAATATATAAAAATAAATGTAGAGATTAAGAATAGTTATTTTATCAAAATTAACTTTTTCTGCTAATTACTGTGACCAAAACTAGAGCAAAAGAAAATCTGTGAATAGTCCCTAACTCTACTAAGACAACATTATAAGCAGTTTTAGAAAAATAGAGAGAACAGAAAAAAAAACAATAGTTTGTTAGATCAAAAACTTTTGCTTCGATTTTCACCTTGCACCACTAGAAGAAAACAAATTTTTTAACAAAATTTTCTTAGAAAATTAAAAATTGGGTTATTGCTTTTCACCCTGTATTGCAGATTACTAAACAACAAAACAAACAAACACATATTAGAAGTAAACAAACAACAAACATATCCACATAAGATGTGTTAGCAAACAAATTAGATACTCGTGGACAAACAAACAACATAACACAACAACAAATACATGAGAAAACAAACAAACAAAGACAAACCTGTGTACAATATACCAAACCAATATTATATACCAAATGCTAGAACTCATCGACTTCAAAGATTTTTTTAATAAGTCACAAGAGGATAGATCTGCAGTACAAGAAAGACAAAATATATTTATTTGGAAAGAAGATAAGAATGTATCCAAATATTTAGAAACTAATAAAACATATCTACAATACCAAATATAGTAAAATACAAGAAATTAGGGCTGTAATAGAAAAAAACTCTTCCCAAAGATCACTTAACCAAATTAGAAACAAGAAGAAAAAACTTTCCCACGACAATATCTCAAGATTTTACTAAGTAAACTGATATTTGGCTCCTAATTAAAGTTATTCAGCATCTCTATATCTACTTAAAAGAGGTGTTCTTTTTAAAAATAAACAATACTCCAAAAAGATACAAGCAATAAACTCCAAAAAGGACCAAAAAGCCTTCTTTTTACTGCTTCGCAAAAGCGATCTTCAGGACCACCCAAACTCGAATAATACAAAACAAACAAACAGCTATACTCTAAACAAAAATTTAGTCATACAAGGTTTACTAGCCTCACCTGAACCCCAAGCTCACTCCATAAATATGGCCTCCGATAGCCTCTCTTCCTACTTTGAAATTTTTTTTCTCTTACGCAAACAAGCAGAAGCAAAAAATACCTCTACTAGCAACAAGCTCACAACTTTAGAATCCGAGTATACTAAAAAGTTTGTCAACATTACTATCATAGACTGGTCAAAATTAGCCTTTACTGTCAGCTTCTCTATTCCAGAGCAGTCTAACGACTTTCTCTTCTTTACCGATATTACCAAATCTGGCAAGATCTCCAACTTGGTAGATTATTCTTCACAATGGATATGCAAATATGACGATCCTAACCAATCAGTCCTCTTCAACCTTACCTCGCACAAAAACAATAACATAAATATTAGTGCCAAACAACCTAGAAATACCTATAGCTGTGACCTGGCCACTATTACAAAAGCTTACAAAAGTAGTATAAAACCTTACACTAAAGCTAAAAGCCTTTAAGATCTTATACTTATCTTGTACAACTCTATTGTAGAACTCAAATCTGATAATAAATCAAATAAAAGCAACAATGAAACAGTCCTACCTTACACCACCTCTAATATAAAACTAGCTTTTACACATACTAGTAATACAAGCATGGACACAACACCTCAAGTTATCACACCAAACATGCAAATTACTACACTTGCACAGACTACACCCCTCCAGGCCCAGTACTACACTAACAACAACCGCAACAATAACAGATACAGATACAACCTCTTATACAACAGTACACTATACAGCCATAGATACACGATCTCACTCATCAACCTCTGTACTCTGACCATCTACACTCTCTAGTCAAATTACACCAAACCTCTGTCTACTACCCAACGAAACCCACCATCTCTGCCTGAAGCCATCACTAACAGAAAGCGTGGCAGAAATATCTCCTCTCTTATTACTATCTCTAATAAAGCTAATAAAACCTCTATAAGTAGTATTCATATCTTAGCTAAACTACAAACCAATAGTGCTACACTGAGTAACAAGCCCACATATAGCCAAATAGCAAAAACTAATCTTAGCCTTCTATCAATAGAAACACCAGATGATATGGAATGGGTAGCAATAGTCTACCAAAGAGCTACACCTACCAAAATACCATTTGACTCAGAAACTTGGTATATGACTTTATTGCAGAGGCAATTAAAACACCAGAGGGAATCTACAAATTCATTAGCTACAAGCTTTCAGCAACTCATACCCAACATAAAATACCAGAGGCAATCTCACTCAAATTTCTTCACTGTGATACCAGATTTTTTACTACATTTACATGCAACTTCAAGACTACACCTGCACACCAGAAGGAGTATACAAATCTCTTTAATAAAGCCCTCTCAGCATATAAAGAAGAACACAAGATTATACTTATGAATCTTGATATCCGCAATACTATTACTACCATGTTAAGGAAAATGCTAATCTCACAGTACCTCACCAATATTAACTTTACTTGCATTCCACATAAAAGAATTCACAAAATTATCTACTATGCTGGGGGCTTTCTACAAATCAAGAATACAGATAAGAACACATACAAAGAAATTACAGGACACATCAATAAAGCATTTGAAGATAAACTTATCCCACTCCCAGATTCTCCAGAGCAAATACCACTTGAGATTTATAACATGCTTCCCTTCCGTCTCCCAATTACACAATGCTTACATACCAGAGCAATTGTCAATGCCCTAAGAAGAATATTCAAATTTTTAGAACTTCCACCCTCATTCTTTGCTAAGCTCTCTACACTTCTTAACCACTAAAGAGAACTCTCACCAAGCCTACATCATCCTTTCCCTATCTTCCACAGATCTGTATCCAACACCTGGCCACTTACAAAAGAAAACTCGCAGACTTCTATGCAGTAACCCAAATTCCAGATGCATACTTCAATCTATCACCTCCTAAAAAGCCTTTGCCAACCACCTACCAAGAGCTTAACCCCAGAGTCCGCAAGCTATTCCTATTCAACCAGACAACATTATCAATCCCACTTACAGAAGTGGTAGCCCGACTCAGAGAGTACTATACATTTAAACTGCTACTTAATGACTACTTCGTATCCAAGCCTCCCCTGCCAATGGACCCCAAAAATATTAAAACCAACACAGAATTCATCTACCCAATTACAGATGATTCAACCGTAAGAGAGTTCATTAAGCAAGTCTCTGCAAAATACAAAATTAGGTTTCCTCTTCCACCTGAAATTATGTATGAAATCCTACTGACAAACCTAATTTCCCACCCACCGCACAAATTACAAAAGATTTTAATATTGATTTTCCAATTACAACACCCCAACAAATCACAGAAACAGCTAGACTGCTATGCAAATACTACTACTTCCCGCAACTTCCCACAAACTGGATTCAACTAAACAATGATAACACTCCAAATACAGAAAATACAGACACCAACGTGAATACAAAGGCCTTACCTATTATCTTCAAAGATATAGAAGAGAGAGATAATCGAAACACTTTCTAAGCAAGAGGTTATAGTCTCACTTCCAATTCAGAAACAGCAAGACATATGAAAACTCTCAGACAATTCTACAAGATTTCAACTATTCCAGAAACTCTACTAAAACTCCCACCTCTCCCTATACCAAAATGGAACATTTTTAATGACATCTATATACAAAATCTACCACCAACTCCTAGTATAGCCCAAAGCTTTGCATTGGCCCCAGAGATAGAAACTACAGAGCTAGTCTCTTCTACAAACACCCCAACTCTTCTTTTAGCCGAACCACTAAATCTACCTTTACAGAAACAAATGATATACATCTATCTCATAGCAATATCACCCTTCCACTGGATAACCCAACACCAATGGACACAAATGAGCACTCTCATGAGTAGACCAAACAACTCACGAAACTCAA